GGTCCCGGAGCTTTCGTGGTCCAGGAGCTTGCCTGGTCCGGAAGCTTGCCTGGTCCAAGAGCTTGCCTGGTCCTCGAGCCTGCCTGGTCCAAGAGCTTGCGTGGTCCGGGAGCTTGCCTGGTCCAAGAGCTTGCCTGGTCCAAGAGCTTGCGTGGTCTAGAAGCTTGCCTGGTCTACGAGCTTGCCTGGTCTAGGAGCTTGCCTGGTCCAGGAGCTTGCTTGGTCCAGGAGCGTGCTTGGTCCACGAGTTTGCCTGGTCTAGAAGCTTGCCTGGTCCAAGAGCTTGCCTGGTCTAGGAGCTTGCATGGTCCTGGAGCGTGCCTAGTCCAGGAGCTAGCGTGGTCCAGGAGCTATCCTGGCCAGGAGCTTGCGTGGTCCAGGAGCTTGCCTGGTCCAGGTTTGTGCCTGGTCCACGAGTTTGCTTGGTCTAGAAGCTTGCCTGGTCCAAGAGCTTGACTGGTCTAAGAGCTTGCATGGTCCTGGAGCGTGCCTGGTCCAAGAGCTTGCCTGGTCCAAGAGCTATCCTGGTCCAGGAGCTTGCCTGGTCCAGGAGCTTGCCTGGTCCAGGAGCTTGCCTGTTCGAGGAGCGTGCCTGGTCCAAGAGCTTGCCTGGTCCAAGAGCGCGTATGGTCCACAAGCGTGCCTGGTCCATGAACTTGCCTGGTTAGGAGCTTGCCTAGTCAAGGAGCTTGCCTGGTCCAAGAGCTTGCCTGGTCCAGGAGCTTGCCTGGTCCAGGAGCTTGCCTGGTTCAAGAGCTTGCCTGGTCTAGGAGCTTGCCTGGTCTAGCAGCTTGCCTTGTCCAGGTTCGTGCCTGGTCCACGAGTTTGCTTGGTCCAGAAGCTTTCCTGGTCCAGGAGCTTGCCTGGTTTAAGAGCTTGCATGGTTCAGGAGCGTGCGTGGTCCAAGAGCTTGCTTGGTCCAGGAGCTATCCTGGTCCAGGAGCTCGCCTGGTCCACGAGATTGCATGGTCCAAGAGCTTGCCTGTTCCAGGAGCGTGCCTGGTCCAAGAGCTTGCCTGGTCCAAGAGCGTGCATGGTCCACGAGCGTGCCTAGTCCAGGAGCTTGCTTGGTCTAGGAGCTTGCCTGGTCAAGGAGCTTGCCTGGTCCAGGAGCTTGCCTTGTCCAGGAGCTTGCCTTGTCCACGAGCCTGCCTGGTCCAAGAGCTTGCCTCGTCCGGGAGCGTGCACGGTCCACGAGCGTGCCTGGTCCAGGAGTTTGCCTGGTCCAGGAGCTTGCGTGGTACAATAGCTTGCTTGGTCCAGAAGCCTGCCTGGTCCAAGAGCTTGCCTGGTCCAAGAGAGTGCCAGGTCCAAGAGCTTGCGTGATCCAGGAGCTTGCGTGGTCGAGGAGCTTGCCTGGTCCAGGAGCTTCCCTGGTCCAGGAGCTTGCCTGGTCCAAGAGCTTGCCTGGTCCAAGAGCTTGCGTGGTCCAGGAGCTTGCCTGGTCCAGGAGCTTGCTTGGTCTAGGAGCTTGCCTGGTCCAGGAGCTTGCCTGGTCCAGGAGCTTGCCTGGTCAAAGAGCTTGCCTGGTCCAGGAGTTTGCCTGGTCCAGAAGCTTGCCTCGTCCAGGAGCTTGCCTGGTCTAGGAGATTGCATGGTCCAGGAGCGTGCCTGGTCCAGGAGCTTGCCTGGTCCACGAGCTATCCTGGTCCAGGAGCTTGCCTGGTCCAGGACCTTGCCAGGTCCAGGAGCTTGCCTGTTCCACGAGCATTCCTGGTCCAGGAGCTTGCCTTGTCTAGGAGCTTTCTTGGTCCGTTAGCTTGCCTGGTCCAGGAGCTTGCCTTATCCAGGAGCTTGCCTGGTCCAGGAGCTTGCGTGAACCAATAGCTTGCTTGATCGAGAAGCCTGCCTGGTCCAAGAGCTTGCCTGGTCCATGAGCGTGCCTGGTCCAAAAGCTTGCGTGGTCTAGGAGCTCGCGTGGTCCAGGAGCTTGCCTGGTCCAAGAGCTTGCCTGGTCCAGGAGCTTTGCCTTGTCCAAGAGCTTGCCTGGTTCAAGAGCTTGCGTGGTCCAGGAGCTTCCCTGGTCCAGGAGCTTGCCTGGTCTAGGAGCTTGCCTGGTCCAGGAGCGTGCCTGATCCACGAGTTTGCCTGGTCCAGAAGCTTGCCTGGTCCAAGAGCTTGCCTGGTCTAGGAGCTTGCATGGTCCAGGAGCTTGCCTGGTCCAGAAGCTTGCCTGGTCCAGGAGCTTGCCTGGTCCAGGAGCTTGCCTGTTCCACGAGCGTGCCTGGTCCACGAGCTTGCCTTGTCCAGGAGCTTTCTTGGTCCGTTAGCTTGCCTTCTCCACGAGCGTGCCTGATCCACGAGCTTGCCTGGTCCGAGAGCGTGCCTGGACCAGGAGTGTGCCTGGTCCACGAGCGCGCCTGGTCCAGGAAATTGCCTGGTCCCGGAGCTTTCGTGGTCCAGGAGCTTGCCTGGCCCGGAAACTTGCCTGGTCCAGGAGCTTGCCTGGTCCTCGAGCCTGCCTGGTCCAAGAGCTTGCGTGGTCCAGGAGCTTTCGTGGTCCAGAAGCTTGCCTGGTCCAGGAGCTTGCCTGGTCCAAGAGCTTGCCTGGTCCAAGAGCTTGCGTGGTCTAGAAGCTTGCCTGGTCCACGAGCTTGCCTGGTCTAGGAGCTTGCCTGGTCCAGGAGCTTGCTTGGTCCAGGAGCGTGCTTGATCCACGAGTTTGCCTGGTCTAGAAGCTTGCCTGGTCCAAGAGCTTGCCTGGTCTAGGAGCTTGCATGGTCTAGGAGCGTGCCTAGTCCAGGAGCTAGCCTGGTCGAGGAGCTATCCTGGTCCAGGAGCTTGCCTGGTCCAGGAGCTTGCCTGGTCTAGGTGCTTGCCTGTTCCACGAGCATGCCTGGTCAAGGAGCTTGCCTTGTCCAGGAGCTTTCTTGGTCCGTTTGCTTGCCTGGTCCAGGAGCTTGCCTGGTCCAGGAGCTTTCTTGGTCCAAGAGCTTGCCTGGTCCAGGAGCTTGCCTGGTCCACGAGCTTGCCTGGTCCAGGAGCTTGCCTGGTCCACGAGCCTGCTTAGTCCAAGAGCTTGCCTGGTCTTTGAGCTTGTCTGGTCTTTGAGCTTGCCTGGTCCAGGAGCTTTCCTGGTCTAGGACCTTGCGTGGTCCAAGAGCTTGCTTGGTCCAGAAGCCTGCCTCGTCCACGAACTTGCCTGGTCCAGGAGCGTGCCTTGTCGAAAAGCTTGCGTAGTCCAGGAGCTTGCCTCGTCCAAGAGCTTGCCTGGTCCAAGAGCTTGCGTGGTCCAGGAGCTTGCCTGGTCCAGGAGCTTGCCTGGTCTAGGAGCTTGCCTGGTCCAAGAGCTTCCTTGGTCCAGAAGCATGTCTGGTCCACGAGTTTGCCTGGTCCAGAAGCTTGCCTGGTCCAGGAGCTTGCCTGGTCTAGGAGCTTGCATGGTCCAGGAGCGTGCCTGGTCCAGGAGCTTGCCTAGTCCAGGAGCTATCCTGGTCCAGGAGCTTGCTTGGTCAAGGAGCTTGCCTGTTCCAGGAGCTTGCCTGTTCCAGGAGCTTGCCTGGTCCAGGAGCTATCCTGGTCTAGGAGCTTGCCTGGTCCAGGAGCTTGCGTGGTCCAAGAGCTTGCCTTGTCCAGGAGCTTTCTTGGTCCGTGAGCTTGCCTGGTCCAGGAGCTTGCCTTGTCCAGGAGCTTGCCTGGTCCAAGAGCTTGCCTGGTCCAAGAGCTTGCGTGGTCCAGGAGCTTGCCTGGTCTAGGAGCTTGCCTGTTCCAGGAGCTTGTCTGGTCCAGGAGCTATCCTGGTCTAGGAGCTTGCCTGGTCCAGGAGCTTGCCTGGTCCAGGAGCTTGCGTGGTCCAAGAGCTTGCCTGGTCCAGGAGCTTGCCTGGTCCAGGAGCGTGCCTGGTCCACGACTTTGCCTGGTCCAGAAGCTTGCCTGGTTTAGGAGCTTGCCTGGTCTAGGAGCTTGCATGGTCCAGGAGCGTGCCTGGTCTAGGAGCTTGCCTAGTCCAGGAGCTATCCTGTTCCAAGAGCTTGCCAGGTCCAAGAGCTTGCCTGGTCCAGGAGCTTGCCTGTTCGAGGAGCGTGCCTGGTCCAAGAGCTTGCCTGGTCCAAGAGCGAGCATGGTCCACGAGCGTGCCTGGTCGAGGAACTTGCCTGGTCAAGGAGCTTGCCTGGTCAAGGAACTTGCCTGGTCCTGGAACTTGCCTGGTCCAAGAGCTTGCTTGGTTCATGAGCTTGCCTGGTCTAGGAGCTTGCCTGGTCCAGGAGCTTTCCTGGTCCAGAAGCGTGCCTGGTCCACGAGTTTGCCTGGTCCAGAAGCTTGCGTGGTCCAGGAGCTTGCCTGGTCTAGGAGCTTGCATGGTCCAGGAGCGTGCCTGGTCCAGGAGCTTGCCTGGTCCGGGAGCTATCCTGGTCCAGGAGCTTGCCTAGTCCAGGAGCTTGCCTGGTCCAAGAGCTTGCTTGTTCCAGGAGCGTGCCTGGTCCAAGAGCTTTCTTGGTCCAAGAGCGTGCATGGTCCACGAGCGTGCATGGTCCAGGAGCTTGCCTGGTCCAGGAGCTTGCCTGGTCAAGGAGCTTGCCTGGTCCAGGAGCTTGCCTGGTCCAGGAGCTTGCCTGGTCCAGGAGCTATCCTGGTTCAGGAGCTTGCCTAGTCAAGGAGCTTGCCTGGTCCAGGAGCTTGCCTGGTCCAGGAGCTTGCGTGGTCCACGAGCCTGCCTGGTCCAAGAGCTTGCCTGGTCCAGGAGCGTGCATGGTCCACGAACGTGCCTAGTCCAGGAGTTTGCCTGGTCCAGGAGCTTGCCTGGTCCAGGAGCTTGCATGGTCCAATCTCTTGCTTGGTCCAAAAGCCTGCCTGGTCCAAGAGCTTGCCTGGTCCAGGAGCGTGCCTGGTCCAAGAGCTTGACTTATCCAGGACCTTGCGTGGTCGAGGAGCTTGCCAGGTCAAGGAGCTTGCCAGGTCTAGGAGCTTGCCTGGTCCAAGAGCTTGCCTGGTCCAAGAGCTTGCGTGGTCCAGGAGCTTGCCTTGTCCAGGAGCTTGCCTGGTCTAGGAGCTTGCCTGGTCTAGGAGCTTGCCTGGTCTAGGAGCGTACGTGGTCCACGAGTTTGCCTGGTCCAGAAGCTTGCCTCGTCCAGGAGCTTGCCTGGTCTAGGAGCTTGCATGGTCCAGGAGTGTGCTTGGTCCAGGAGCTTGCCTAGTCCAGGAGCTATCCTGGTCAAGGAGCTTGCCTGGTCCAGGAGCTTGCCTGGTCCACGAGCGTCCACGTCCATGTCCAAGTCCACGTCCTTGTCTACGTCCACGTCCACGTCCATGTCCACGTCCACGTCCACGTCCACGTCCACGTCCATGTCCACGTCCACGTCCACGTCCACGTCCATGTCCATGTCCACGTCCATGTCCACGTCCACGTCCACGTCCACGACCACGTCCACGTCTACGTCCACGTCCACGTCCACGTCTAAGTCCATGTCCACGTCCACGTCCACGTCCACGTCCACATCCACGACCATGTCTTCGTCCACGTCCACGTCCACGTCCATGTCCACGTCCAAGTTCTCCATGTCCACGTCCACGTCCACATCGACGTCCACGTACATGTCCACGTCCATGTCCACGTCCACGTCCACGTCCATGTCCATGTCCACGTCCATGTCCACGTCCACGTCCACGTCCACGCCTATCTCCACGTCCAAGTCCTCCACGTCCATGTCCACGTCCATCTCCACGTCCACGTCCATGTCCACGTCCACGTCCACGTCCACGCCCACGTCCACGTCCACGTCCATGTCCACGTCCATGTCCACGACCATGTCCACGTCCATGTTCACGTCCATGTCCACGTCCACGTCCATGTCCACGTCCACGTCCATGTCCACGTCCATGTCCACGTCCATGTCCACGTCCACGTCCATGTCCACGTCCATGTCCACGTCCACGTCCACGTCCACGTCCACGTCCATGTCCACGTCTACGTCGACGTCCACGTCCACGTCCACGACCATGTCCACGTCCATGTCCACGTCCACGTCGACGTCCACGTCCACGTCCACGACCATGTCCACGTCCAGGTCCACGTCCACGTCCACGTCCACGTCCACGTCTATGTCCACATCCACGTCCACGTCCACGTCTATGTCCACGTCCACGTCCACGTCCACGTCCACGTCCGCGTCCGCGTCCACGTCCGCGTCCGCGTCCACGTCCACGTCCGCGTCCACGTCCCGTCCACGTCCACGTCCACGTCCACGTCCACGTCCACGTCCGCGTCCACGTCCGCGTTTGTCCACGTCACGTCCGCGTCCACGTCCACGTCCACGTCCACGTCCACGTCCGCGTCCGTCCACGTCCACGTCCGCGTCCGTCCGCGTCCACGTCCGCGTCCGCGTCCACGTCCACGTCCACGTCCATGTCCACGTCCACGTCCGCGTCCACGTCCGCGTCCGCGTCCACGTCCACGTCCACGTCCGCGTCCGTCCACGTCCACGTCCACGTCCACGCACGTCCGCGTCCACGTCCACGTCCACGTCCGCGTCCGTCCACGTCCACGTCCACGTCCGCGCACGTCCACGTCCACGTCCACGTCCACGTCCACGTCCACGTCCGCGTCCACGTCCACGTCCACGTCTGCGTCCACGTCCACGTCCACGTCCACGTCTACCTCGACGTCCACGTCTACGTCCATATCCACGTCCACGTCCACGTCTACGTCCACGTCCACGTCCGCGTCCACGTCCACGTCCACGTCCACGTCTACCTCGACGTCCACGTCCACGTCCACGTCCACGTCCACGTCCACGTCACGTCCACGTCCACGTCCACGTCCATGTCCAAGTCCACGTCCACGTCCACGTCCACGTCCACGTCCACGACCAAGTCCACGTCCACGTCCACGTCCACGACCAAGTCCACGTCCACGTCCACGTCCACGTCCACTTCCACGTCCACGTCCACGTCCACGTTCAGGTCCACGTCCATGTCCAGGTCCACGTCCACGTCCACGTCCACGTCCACGACCACGTCCACGTCCACGACCATGTCCACGTCCACGTCCAGGTCCACGTCCATGTCCACGTCCACATCCACGTCCACGTCCACGTCCACGTCCATGTCCACGTCCACGTCCCGTCCACGTCCACGTCCACGTCCATGTCCACGTCCACGTCCACGACCAAGTCCACGTCCACGTCCACGTCCACGACCAAGTCCACGTCCACTTCCACGTCCACGTCCACTTCCACGTCCATGTCCACGTCCACGTCCAGGTCCACGTCCATGTCCAGGTCCACGTCCACGTCCACGTCCACGTCCACGTCCATCTCCACGTCCACGTCCACGTCCACGTCCACGTCCACGTCCACGTCCACGACCACGTCCACGTCCACGTCCACGTCCACGTCCACGACAATGTCTTCGTCCACGTCCACGTCCACGTCCACGTCCACGTCACGTCCACGTCCACGTCCATGTCCACGTCCACGTCCACGTCCACGTCCAGGTCCACGTCCATGTCCACGTCCAGGTCTACGTCCACGTCCATGTCCACGTCCACGTCCACGTCCACGTCCACGTCACGTCCACGTCCACGTCCACGTCCACGACCAGGTCCACGTCCACGTCCACGTCCACGTCCACGTCCATGTCCACGTCGACATCCATGTCCACGTCCACGTCCACGTCCACGTCCATGTCCACGTCCACGTCCACGTCCACGTCCAAGTCCTCCACGTCCACGTCCACGTCCACGTCCACGTCCATGTCCACGTCCAAGTTCTCCACGTCCACGTCCACCTCCACGTCCACGTCCATGTCCACGTCCATGTCCATGTCCACGTCCACGTCCACCATTTTCTCTACATATTTGCGTTAGTTACCTTTCAAACCCTTACGTTCACTAGATGAATTTATTTCCTTCCTTCTATTTGAGTGAGACCACTAGATTTCGTGTACTATGCGAGATCTGAGCAGTTCCGTTCTCCCAGGCATTTGCACTCTAAGTTCCCATACTGACCGACCTGGCCAATGCACCAATTTCCATATACATACGCATTAGATTCCTTTCGAACCTTATTAGCTCACTAGATTTATATATTTCCCACCTTCTGATCGAGTGAGACCGCTAGATTCCCTTTACTTTTTGAGAAATGAGCGTTTCCGTTCTCCTTGGTCCTACTTGCACTATAAGTGCGAAATGCCGGCCAGACTGGCCGATGCACCATTTTCTCTACACATGTGCGTTAGTTACCTTTCAAACCCTTACGTTCACTAGATGAATTTATTTCCTACCTTCTTTTTGAGTGAGACCACTAGATTCCGTGTGCTATGCGAGATCTGAGCGCTTCCGTTCTCCCAGGCATCTGCACTCTAAGTTCCCATACTGACCGACCTGGCCAATGCACCATTTTCCATATAAATATGCTTTAGATTTCTTTCGAACCTTATTAGCTCACTAGATTTATATATTTCCCACCTTGTGATCGAGTGAGACCGCTAGATTCCCTCTACTTTTTGAGAAATGAGCATTTCCGTTCTCCTTGGCCCTAGTTGCACTATAAGTGCGAAATGCCGGCCAGACTGGCCGATGCACGATTTTCTCTACACATGTACGTTAGTTACCTTTCAAACCCTTACGTTCACTAGATGAATATATTTCCTACTTTCTATTTGAGTGAGACCACTTGATTCCGTGTACTATGCGAGATCTGAGCGCTTCCGTTCTCCCTGGCATTTGCATTTTAAGTTCCGATACTGACCGACCTGGCCAATGCACCATTTTCTCTATACATGTGCGTTGAATACATTTCAAACCTTTTTAGCTGACTAGATTTATATATTTCCCACGTTCTTATCGAGTCAGACCGTTAGATTCCCTTTACTTTTTGAGAAACGAGCGTTTCCGTTCTCCCTGACCCCACCTGCACTATGAGTTCGAAATGCCGGCCAGTCTGGCCGATGCACCATTTTCTCTACACATGTGCGTTAGTTACCTTTCAAACCCTTACGTTCACTAGATGAATTTATTTCCTACCTTATATTTGAGTGAGACCACTAGATTCCGTGTATTATGCGAGATATGAGCGGTTCCGTTCTCTGAGGCATTTGCACTCTAAGTTCCCATACTGACCGACCTGGCCAATGCACCACTTTTCATATACATATGCATTAGATTCCTTCCGAACCTTATTAGCTCACTATATTTATAAGGGCCATAAACCCTGAGAGCGCACAGTGGGATCAGCATCAGCAGCAGGGGCAGGAGAGGTGCCAGAAGTGAGGTCAGAGAGAGAGAGGCCGTCTGCCATATCGCACTGTAAAAACAACTGCAGGTCGTCGACCCAGACCTCAAAGTCAATGGCGCGACCCTCAGCGTCAAAAGCTAGGACACTAGGGGTAGCCATGACGACGACAGCGAAGCAGTGCAAGCAGTAGGGGAAGAGCACGCAGTGACAGTGGGACTGTGCTCACCAGGCAGGGCAGCGCTGCAGAAGGGCGGCTCGGCAACTCAGCGACTCGGCTGCTGGGCGGCTCGGCTTCCGGGCGGCTCGGTGTCGGGCGGCTCGGGTGCAGGGCGGCTCGGCTCCCGGGCGGCTCGGCGGCAGGGCGGCTCGGCTGCACCGCTGCTCGGCTGCTGCAGGTGGGCGGCTCGGCTGCTGCAGGTAGGGTGACGGGGCCGTGAGACCAGGGGCGGCGGGGCCGGCGAAGCAGGGCCGGCAGGGGGGACGGCGGGGCCGCGTCTGAGCGGGCGGCGGGGCCGCGGTTGAGCAGGCGGCGGGGCCGCGTAGTAGTGGGCGGCGGGGCCGGGGCTGAGCAGGCGGCGGGGCCGCGTCAAAGCGGGCGGCGGGGCCGCGTCAAAGCAGGTGGCGGGGCCGCGTCGTAGTGGGCGGCGGGGCCGGGGCTGAGCAGGCGGCGGGGCCGCGTCAAAGCGGGCGGCGGGGCCGCGTCAAAGCGGGCGGCGGGGCCGCGTCAAAGCATGTGGCGGGGCCGCGTCAAAGCAGGCGGCGGGGCCGCGTCAAAGTAGGCGGCGGGCCGCGTCAGAGCAGAGGGCGGGGCCGCGTCAAAGCGGGCGGCGGGGCCGCGTCGTAGCGGGCGGCGGGGCCGCGTCTGAGCAGGCGGCAGGGGCCGCGTCTGAGCGGGCGGCGGGGCCGCGTCGTAGCGGGCGGCGGGGCCGCGGCTGAGTAGGTGGCGAGGCCGCGTCTGAGCAGGCGGCGGAGCCGCGATCGAAATGGGCGGCGGGGCCGCGTCTGAAGGGGCGGCAGGGCCGCGAGGGAAGGGCGACACGGAGGGTCGCTCGAGCGAGAGGAAAAAAAAAGCTAGCGCGCCTCAAGGCGCGCTTCAGTGGGCCCTAGGCAAAGTTCCCACAGGGAACCCGCTCTATACCATGTGAAACTTGTAAAACAGGAATGAATGACTAAGTCAAGGTTGGGTACAAATACAACCCTAGAAAGCTGTACCCTATATGTGCTACCCCACTATAGCCTACAAACATGCATCAGCTATAGTAATCTGACACTACCTTCTATTTGAGTGAGACCACTAGATTCCGTGTACTATGCGAGATCTGAGCGTTTCCGTTCTCCCTGGCATTTGTACTCTAAGTTCCCATACTGACCGACCTGGCCAATGCACCATTTTCTATATACATATGCATTATATTCCTTTCGAACCTTATTAGCTCACTAGATTTATATATTTCCCACCTTCTGATCAAGTGAGACCGCTAGATTCCCTTTAGTTTTGAGAAATGAGCGTTTCCGTTCTCCTTGGCCCTACTTGCACTATAAGTGCGAAATGCCAGCCAGACTGGCCGATGCACCATTTTCTCTACACATGTGCGTTAGTTACCTTTCAAACCCTTACGTTCACTAGATGAATTTATTTCCTACCTTCTATTTGAGTGAGACCACAAGATTCCGTGTACTATGCGAGATCCGAGCGCTTCCGTTCTCCCTGGCATTTGCATTTTAAGTTCCGATACTGACCGACCTGGCCAATGCACCATTTTCTCTATACATGTGCGTTGAATACATTTCAAACCTTTTTTAGCTGACTAGATTTATATATTTCCCACCTTCTGATCGAGTGAGACCGTTAGATTCCCTCTACTTTTTGAGAAATGAGCGTTTCCGTTCTCCCTGGCCACACCTGCACTATGAGTGCGAAATGCCGGCCAGACTGGCCGATGCACCATTTTCTCTACACATGTGCGTTAGTTACCTTTCAAACCCTTACGTTCACTAGATGAATATATTTCCTACCTTATATTTGAGTGAGACCACTAGATTCCGTGTATTATGCGAGATCTGAGCGGTTCCGTTCTCCCAGGCATTTGCACTTTAAGTTCCCATACTGACCGACCTGGCCAATGCACCACTTTTCATATACATATGCATTAGATTCCTTCCGAACCTTATTAGCTCACTAGATTTATATATTTTCCACCTTCTGATCTAGTGAGACCGCTAGATTCCCTTTACTTTTTGAGAAATGAGGGTTTTCGTTCTCCTTGGCCCTACTTGCACTATAAGTGCGAAATGCCGGCCAGACTGGCCGATGCACCATTTTCTCTACACATGTGCGTTAGTTACCTTTCACACCCTTACGTTCACTAGATGAATATATTTCCTACTTTCTATTTGAGTGAGACCACTTGATTCCGTGTACTATGCGAGATCTGAGCGCTTCCGTTCTCCCTGGCATTTGCATTTTAAGTTCCGATACTGACCGACCTGGCCAATGCACCATTTTCTCTATACATGTGCGTTGAATACATTTCAAACCTTTTTAGCTGACTAGATTTATATATTTCCCACCTTCTGATCGAGTGAGACCGTTAGATTCCCTCTACTTTTTGAGAAACGAGCGTTTCCGTTCTCCCTGGCCCCACCTGCACTATGAGTGCGAAATGCCGGCCAGACTGGCCGATGCACCATTTTCTCTACACATGTGCGTTAGTTACCTTTCAAACCCTTACGTTCACTAGATGAATATATTTCCTACTTTATATTTGAGTGAGAGCACTAGATTCCGTGTATTATGCGAGATCTGAGCGGTTCTGTTCTCCCAGGCATTTGCACTCTCAGTTCCCATACTGACCGACCTGGCCAATGCACCACTTTCCATATACATATGCATTAGATTCCTTCAGAACCTTATTAGCTCACTAGATTTATATATTTCCCACCTTCTGATCGAGTGAGACCGCTAGATTCCCTCTACGTTGTGAGAAATGAGCGTTTCCGTTCTCCTTGGCCCTACTTGCACTATAAGTGCGAAATGCCGGCCAGACTGGCCGATGCACAATTTTCTCTACACATGTGCGTAAGTTACCTTTCAAACCCTTACGTTCACTAGATGAATATATTTCCTACTTTCTATTTGAGTGAGACCACTTGATTCCGTGTACTATGCGAAATCTGAGCGCTTCCGTTCTCCCTGGAATTTGCATTTTAAGTTCCGATACTGACCGACCTGGCCAATGCACCATTTTCTCTATACATGTGCGTTGAATACATTTCAAACCTTTTTAGCTGACTAGATTTATATATTTCCCACCTTCTGATCGAGTGAGACCGTTAGATTCCCTCTACTTTTTGAGAAACGAGCGTTTCCGTTTTCCCTGGCCCCACCTGCACTATGAGTGCGAAATGCCGGCCAGACTGGCCGATGCACCATTTTCTCTACACATGTGCGTTAGTTACCTTTCAAACCCTTACGTTCACTAGATGAATATATTTCCTACTTTATATTTGAGTGAGAGCACTAGATTCCGTGTATTATGCGAGATCTGAGCGGTTCCGTTCTCCTAGGCATTTGCACTCTAAGTTCCCATACTGACCGACCTGGCCAAT